CCCCCGCCGCGGCGGATGCTCATGGTCCCGCGGCGCTGTGAGACAGACTCACGGCCGGCACTGCTGAGTCCAATGGGTGAGGTGGGGCACTGCCCCACAACCCAATTCAGACTACTCTCCCCCGGACACTTTTATCGTTTACCTCCAAACGTTAAAATAACGGCCCCATACTCCCATTATAGTTGCATGCCAGGGCTTGGCACATCACCACACACCTTGACACACTGCACATCTCCAGCGTGCTTTCTCCTAGCCAAACTTGTATTTTTCCACCAAAAAAAGAGGAAGAGGAAAAAAAAGGGGAAGAGGAAGAGGATGGGCACAATGCCACAGGGTGAAAGGAGGGCAGGTGGCTTCTGCAGATGTTAATGCAGGCAGGTCGAGCTCCTCGCAAGCACATCTCCGGCTCTTCGTGATGGCAACGGTGGTGCCACGGGGTCACCGCTAGCCCCAGTCACAGCAGGTTGGGGTAGCGCCGCTGGGACAGCAGCCGGGGCTGGCTGGGCCTGGCAGCAGCAAGCTGGGAAGGACAGAAACACCCTGAGAAGACGGTACATCCCTGCGACACATCCCCAGACCGCCGGCCATCCCCTCGTCCCACTGCCACCAGGACAGCCCGCATGGGGCCAGCCCTCCAGCGGCAGCCTGGGAGGACGCTCTCACCTGAGGGACCTGGATGGGGTTGTAGAGCGGTACAGCCCCCACCGGTGGGGCAGGCGGGCAGCTGCCGGGGCCCCATGGAGACTCCTGGAAGAGCAGATGGAGAGGAACTGAGCAGCCACCCCCGCTTTTGGAGTGGACTCCTCACATACGCATTGCTCTGCCCCACATATTAAGGGCTCCCCACCAGAATACGCTCAGGAGGGACGTCTTCCATCCTCCCCCAGACAGAGCAGAGGGAACCAACCCGGGGACCCATATCCTTGTCATGGATCCTCCGAGGGGCAATAAGCTGCAAACGGTGATCAGGGTGCTTTTCCCACCGCAAGGTTAGGCTGTGGCTTGGTGTCTGTTAAAACTACCAAATTCATCTTTATGAATTTTGTACAAGCACAGCAACTTTAAGGCCTTTGTCCCCTTGGCAAATTGCATAAAATAGGCTAATGGCTTTGAAGACATTATGGGGAGAGATAAGAGTTTCTGCTTGTGATTTTGCTCTGAGAAAAGAGGGCAAAAGGGCAAAGACACCCCCAAAGCACAGACACACACATCAAGCCCCATGCTCTCCTCACCTGATCCCCAGCCTCAGGAAAGGATCCCAGTTCCCTGCCATCCAGGCCCCACGAGCCTCCCGTTTCAACGGACACTGGGGTGACAACAATGATATCGGCATCATGTTTCATTCATTCCAGGATGTGCAACCCTTAAAATACAAAGGAGCAGCTTCTAAAAGGCCAAGCATGGGCAGGAGAGAGATGCTCTTAGCCACACTTACCTGGGATTCCAAAAGAAGAGCTGGGCATGGTGGGAGACGGACTCCCAGGAGGCTGAGCTGAAGGCCTTGTCCCGGCCTCCGGAAGAGGAGAGGCTAAGGGTGATGGCGAAGATGATTCCTGAGGAGGGAACCACAATCACGGTTTTAAAGGCTCTGCATTGTCAAAAGGGAACAGCTCCACACTGAAGAGGAGTTGGGTGTGTCCCAGTCCTGATGAAGATCTCCCCTGTCCATAGTAACCCCAGAGCCGGGCACGTGCAAGGTAAGGGCATTGATCATGCAGCTGGTCAGGGCAAGTGACCCCCCTGTGTCAAACCTAAGCCCAAAAGTCATTAAGAGGCTGGGTACCAAGCCTGTTGGTAGAATGCTGTGCTGGGGCTATCGGGGCTACCTGTAGCCCTTGATTCCTTGTCTCTTATCATTATGGGAATAATGTCCCCAGATCTCCTGTTATGGGTCATTCTGAATGAGGAGGAGACCTCCTTGCCTCTAAAAGCAACAATCCTGGCCACAGGGACACGATGTGCATGTCTCGAGAAGAATGTGGCCAGGATTAGGGATAGCTGCATGTGGTTGCTCCCCCATCTCTGCTGTATTTCTAATTAAAGAAGTTATTCTTCAGCTCCTAAAAACTACTGGAGCATTGCCATTTGCTGCTAACAGCTGCTGCTTTCCACTTCAGTGCAGGGCAAGCGATCCCTGCGGAGTATGCTGAGCACTTTGAGAACCTTCCAGATCAAAGATGCTTTATAAATACACAATTATTATTAATAAAGAATTCACTTCCAGACTGAAAGGGTTCCCCAGTCTCCTTTGTCAATCCACCCCTGGGCAGGGCAGCACAGCAGGCCTGCTACAGAAGTGAGAGTCTGTCCTATGGGCTGAGTCAGGCATGCGAGAAGGGAGATACCAGCAGGTGAAGGCAGAGTTACAGTACCCCTTTTCTCAGGTGTCCCCCAGGGTGTCACCCTGGGATGGGGCAGCCTGCATTAGTTTTCCTGTTACCTGAGATTTCGATGTGTCGGACGTGGCTTTGGAGGGCTTCGCCCGAAACCAGCCAAACCATCTGAATCCCGAGCTCTGGGAATTTCATAGTCAAAAAGAAACCAGCAGAAGAACAGTGATAAATTAGAGATACCATAACCCACCAGAGCCCGCTCTCAGCCTCGCTTCTGCCTCCTGAGCCCCAGGCACGGTGGGGGGGAGAGCAAGCGCCCAGCCACACTAGGGTGGGGGGTCTTGCAGGTGCCAGAGAAGAGCACCCGGGCCAGGGTGTTCTGCACTAAAGCAGCCCCTCGTTTCTGGCACACCGCTTGTGTGGGGCACGGCTGGACAAGGGCGGCCAGGGAGAGCACTGAGTGGTTACATGGACCCGGCCAGGCACAGAGGTAAAACAGCTTAGCCTCGGGACAGGAGGATTCAGGCAAACTAGGAGCACTTGTCTTTACAGCAGCTGCACACTGTTCACCTTAACCTCATCTGGCTTCTCCTCCTCCTCCGATGACTGCTCTTCACTGACATCCTTGGACACGCTTTCCAAGGAAGGCTGAATGTCCTCTTCCAGGGAGATGGTAGAGCCCTCCGAGACTGTCCGGCTCCTTGCATTTAACTCTTGCTGGTGTCAGAGAGAAGGGTTATAATGAAGCAGACAAGAAAACTAGGCAGAGGATGATTTACAGAAAGGCAGTTGCAGTCAAGCTAATGGGGGCCAGTGCCCTTCAGGACCCAAGCTCTCTGGAAAGGTTTGAGCCTTTGAGCAAGCACATGGAACAAGATAAATCAGTGAGAGTCCTCCAGCTCTGCCCGGGCCACTAAGCAATATCTGATGTCTTTGGGCAAGCCACTTGCATCCTTCTCCACCTCACCTGCTCTCCTGCAGGAGTCTGCAGCACCCCAAAGGGAACTGGGGAGCCCTGGGGCTCCCTGGCATCTCCTAAAGAGCAGAGAGAAGGGCACAGTCAGGATTCATTGCTGGGAGCAACTTTCCCACAAGCAGTATTTTTGCATCTACTAGAGGTATTTATAATGTTGCCATCATTACGGAATCCAGGCAGCAACTCAGCTGGCTTCTCTGCTGCAAGATGCTTCAGCTCACATTAGAGGCCAAATCAATCTAGGCACATGTCGACATGCTCTGCAAGAAGCCCCACATGCAGCCAGAAACCGGCCTGGTTCTGAGGAACAGCCAGACCCATGCAGCAATCAGCTGCTTTTCCATAACAAGAACAAAACCACCAACATCAGGAGATGCCTCTTTCCCCTCTATTCCTTACACTGCTGGAACAGGCCAGGTACCCCTAAGCAACTTACCTTCTGTGTCATGTCACTATCCCCGAGCAAGGCTACGTGGCCAAGAGTCTTTCCCTGATACATGCAAAAATCCAGGCCTGTAGCTGTGCAGGCATCAAGAAGGCAGTAAGCCAGAAGGTTGCACCAGTATCTCCCAAACTAAGATCTGGTTTGTGCTGTTGAATTTGAAGCTGTCCTTCCCACCCAGCAGGGATGCAGTACAGCTGCCAACCCTAGGGTTTCTTGTCACTTGCTGTTTGGACAAGGTCTTGTAAAAATTAAGAATCAATGACCCAGGGTGGCCAATCCTGATGGGAAGTCGTTTGCCTACAGGAGGCATCTGGGTAAACATGATGCCAACTTTGAGGCAGTACTGGAGTGCCTTTTTCAGGGAAACAAGTCACTGAGGCGGTCAGTGCCAGTAGAAAGTGTTATTCAAAACGAAGCATATGCCTCAGGACACCAGATATGCAGGGATTCTTCACAGGCAGTCCATCTTTCCCTTTTTTCATGGAATTGTTATGAACTGGGTACAGGCACTTTTGTAGAAATCCATGGAAGAAAAGGTGTTTTTCAGACCTATCTCCAGTTCATTTATTCCCGTGAACGCAAAAGAAGCCCAAAATGTGGCCCAACATGCCCCTAGACCTCCTCTCATAGAAATGCTCCAGGCAGGCTGATTTGAACCAAATACACCCTTCGCCTACGCCATCCTTCCTCTGCTCCATGCACATGCAAACATACACTGCCTCTCTACTGAATTCTCCTCCAGCTTGTTAAAGACAGTGCCTAGAGATCCACCCGCTCACCTGGCGGCTGGAGCAGCTGTGGGGAATGCCCATAGCGGGCTTCTCCTGGAAGGGCATTGGTGGCCGGGCTGAGCGCTGCTGCCTGCTGCTCCAGCCCGACCCTGGGCGGCAGCGGAGCTGCGAGCGGAGCAGATGCTGCTGCCCAGGGAGGCGCCAGCGGCCCGAGGCTCGGCTCCTCCTGGGCGTTCGTTCCCTGCAGCAGCTCAGGGGTGCTCTGCTGTTGCCACTGGTCATGCTGGTGGTCGTTGTCCCGGGCAAGCCCATGGCCAAGCTCTCCATCTGGAAAACATACCTCAGGAAATTACTCCAGTATTTACAATTTCAGTGCACCATTGCATAGAATTTTCTTTTTCCATTACACATAAACAGGAGGTGAGGAGGAATCCCAGTGGAATGTGTGTGGGTGAGGGAGGAGGTGCAGCACAGCTTGATAGCAAGGACCTTTCAGATGCCTCAAGGAAGGTGGGTTGTGAAAGATGGGGAAAATCTCTCGGGAACATGCCTGAGGTTGCAAACAAGGACTCAGAATGGGAATATTATGGAAGCAACGAGACCAAAAGAGAAAGCAACATGTGCTTAGCAGTTCAAAGGATCCCAGTGCCTCCAGCCTTTTCTTTCACTCCTACCCCATGCCCTGGGCAGGAAAGAAAATTCTCTGATTTTGAGGAGCATCTGTTAAGCTCTATCCTTCATTCCTACTCCATAGGAATGCACACTGTTGAGTTTCTTGCTTTAGGCAGATTTGTTCTGTTTTTCTTGCGTGAAAGACAGGTTAGGAAAGTGGTAGGGTTTGTTTTATTCAGCAAATGCTCTAGCTGGCATTCGAGGCAGTGCAGCACACTGCTGTCTGTCCCAAGCAGGGCTGCATAGCATTTTCTATTGACTGCTTGTTTCGGCTCTGGGGCTGGCCCCTGCTCTGCAGGGATAAGTTTCTGCCCTGCTGCTGACAGAAGCTTCAGCCAGGATCTAGACACTGCAGCTCTAAGCTGCCCTGGGGACTGACTCTGCGGCATGACTTCTGTCCTGCTAAGGGTTAGCTTCAGCTACTGCTTTTCCATCTGTAAACCACTCCCATAAGTTCCTGGAGATGCTTTTGCAGTGTCAGTGAGAAGCCATGAGGAAAAGGACGGACAGAGCCACCCGACTCCTAGAGCTGCTGTCACTTCTCTCTGCTGCCTGACAAGTAGATTCAGGAAGCATGAACAGATGCCGAGGAAAGCCAGGGAGAAAGCCCATTGCTTGGAGAACTGTGAGGATGGAGAGGAAGACTCCCATGATTGTACTGGTCCCATACTGGTCATTGTCAGGACCCTCCTCATTTTCCCCACTGATCCCTGCAAACTAGATTTGTAATAGAGTGGTCAGGGCAGAGCAAGGCCCTTCAGAGTTAATCCCAGAGCACACAAGTCCTTCAGACGGGAGATCAAAAGTCAATGTCCAGTGTGGCTGGTGACTCTGAACAGCCTTCTTGATGAATGAAGGCACCAAACGTGAGGAAAGCAGGTTTGCTGCTGGTAGCTGGGTACACATGGAGCCGTCCTGACCTCTGAGAGAGGCCTTCTATCATACCTGTGTTTTTTGTCAGAGCTTAGCCCCGACAGAAGCAGAAGGCAATCAGAACTGATGATGCTTTTTACTGCCTGAGAGAGATCCTTGAAGAGGGATTTGGCAGCATCAGGGAAAGCTGATAGGAAGAAATGGCTCGAAGTTTGTCATGTTTTACCCTCTCTGCCTCGGCCTTCGCTCTCCACCAACTCTGCTGGCCTTTCTACCTCCACTGCTCTGCTACGTGGTGCCAGAAAACTGGGCAGGAGCAGGCAGCAAGGAGTAAAAGGCTCTGCCAGGGCCAGCCTACTGACAGAGGAAGCTATTAAGCAACACTGGTGAGCCAGAGGCTCTGCAGGACTGTCCGACTGATGTGTTGTCCAGAGAGGAAGTCCTCTGGCCTCACACTGAAGCCATCCCGGGATGCCTGCATCCTTCCTCTCGGTGTCTCACCCAAAGGCTACGGCAAGGATGTGGTCTTCCAAATGGCTCAGCACTACAGGGACCTCAGGGTCCCAGAGAGACAGAACAAAGATGAACCTCATGTGGGAGGAGAGAAGGTCTATGTTGAGGCTTAATCAATATGTATGCTGAATTACAGCATGCAGAAGGACAAGTTCTTTCCTGAATCTTTCAGTCTATGAACAAGTATAAAATCCTGTTAGTTCAGCTCCAATTTGTGTCCTCGGAGGACTGTCTAGGAATGAGGCCATCTCCCCTGAGGCTCCCTGGAGCTGGAGGCTTGGCGAGGAGACCCTGGCTTTGTCCAGCTGGCTGCCTGCCAGACCAGCACTGTGACCCGCCTTCTTCTTCCGTGGGGCCCACAGAGACTCCTGAAGCTGCATTAATTAGACCCAATTATTCAAGCAGACTTTGTTCCTCCATGGAGAGCAAGCGAGCCTAACTGGACTGAGCATCCCCTGCCACCTTCTGCACATCTTGGCTGGTTGCCCTTATTCACCAAGCTTCCAGGACATGCTGGGATTTTGCAGAGGAGAAAAGAGAACTAGCCAGTTCACTGTCACCAACGTCCCCCCATTCCTCCTCCAGCCAAGACTGGGTTGCTCTAGCTTTGTTCCCTTCCCCTTTTCCCAGCAGAAGGAAACCAATGAGTAATATATTTTCTTAGAAGAATGGGAGGGGAAGGAATCTCTAGAGACAGGTCTTTGAGGAGAAAAAAGGATGTGCAGTCCATGCGAGACCGTACTAGAACGCTTCCCAGCATGGCTCTGGGTCTTCCCAGCTGCCTTGGGACAGAATTCCAGGGCCAGTGTGCAGCGTGTCCCTGGCTGACCCCTCACCAGGGGCAATCACACTGCACGTGTTTGTTTTCTTCTTGTGCTTTAGAGAGATGCAAGGGGCAGAGAACGGCTGCTGAGAAACACCAGCTGGCTCTGGAAGGCTGATCATGTAGACAGCGAGGCTTGGGATCAGCCTCTCTCAGGCGTCTGGCCATATACCTGCATGTGCTGTGCATGCGGAGAAGCCCTTCCAGGGACACACCATGCCCTGCTCCATTTCTTTACCTGTGGCTGATCTGCTGGCCATGGCAAGCTCTGGCTCATCTGATGCCAGCTCAGGAGGCAGATCCTCTTCCATCTGCGCAAAGACAAAGGTGACAGACAACACAGGAGGAAAACTGGACAGGACGAGGAAAACCTGGCAGCATGGGAAGGCAGGCATGACTGGAGCAAGCCTAAGGCCAGCGCAGAGGAGATTGGCGAGCTGGCAAGCTCGCTGCGTGACTCCTCCACGGGCTTTGAGGGCCTGAGGGGCAGGAAGAGGCCCCACACGAGCGCCAGCATCTCAGTCACGCCCAGGACAGCGAGAGCACAGAACAGACTGCCCAGGAGTCGGGACGGGCCCTGCAGCGTGGACGAGGCTCCTCGAAACCAGGAGCAGCACAGGAAGCCCGGAGCCACGGGCTCGGCTGGCACCAGCACAACTACAGCTCATTTCAGCAAGACAAATGAGCGTGATCACCACTGTGCCAGAGCAGGCAGGGCACAAGCCAAGGGGAGACAGAAAGGTGGGCAAGAACAAAAGCAGAGGTGAAATGTGAATGAAATGTGTCAATGTTAGCTCCAGATTTGGTGAAGGCCTTTGAACCTTGACACTTGCCCTCCCATTTAGGATGGAGGAGGAAGAAGACACCCTGCAGACAAACCATAAAACAAAGCAGCTCCATTACAGCTCCCCAAGCCACTGCAGCCAAAGCACAAGGCAGGCGGTGCCCCCTCCGCTCATCCTTACCTCCCACTGCTGGCACTGGGCTCGGAGCTGAGCCAGCCAGTCAGGCCCCAGGGCCAGGTCCTCATCCGGCATCTCCAGCAGCAGCGGGTCGGAGAGCCTCAGCCGCTCGGCCAGCTGCAGAGCCAGGAAGGAGAAGCGGGAGAAAAGCTGGTTCTTAACTCACTTAACGTGATTCCCTAATGCTTTAAAATAAGCATTAACATCATTAACAATACAAAGTAACAGAAGAGTGGGAGGGTCATTTTGAGATTACCTGATCCATCTGCCTACTCTAAAAGGATATCCCATATGTCCACATCAGCCCTTACAGCTGTTTAACTGCTGAATACAAATCTCCACGATTTCACAGCCTCCCAGAGCTGCCCTGATATTTAATGTCCTTAGAATTAGAAAGTTTTTCTTAATATCCAAGTGAAATTCTTGCTGCAAATTAAGCCTCTTGCTCCTGAGGTAGATGGGGGGAATAGCTGGACACCAACTCCCTTAAAAACAGCCTTCGACATATTGGAGGACCGTTATCACATCCGCCATCTATCTCCTTCCTCCCCTAGGATATTTTCGCTGGTGCAAATAACCTCAAGGACTCCAGAGGTCATTCTTTGCTCAATCGCTTATCATCCTTGCTGTTCTCCTCCGTACCTCTTCCAATTTGGCACTTTCTCAGAGTGCAGCATCCCAAGAGGGCCACTGCGACCCAGCCAAGACCCCGCAAGGCCCAAGCACAGGGTGTTATCACCTCCTTGCCTCACATGTGCTACTCTCCCACTTTGACCCCGGAATAACTTTTCTTTTCTTTTTCTTTTTTTTCTTTTTTAAACAGCATTCTGTTGTGGTGCTGCTTGGTATTTCTTCCATGTTCCGCTATCTCCCCCAGGTCCTTCTCTGCAGTACTGCTACTGTGTGTTGAATTTCTCCTACAAGAGAAGGGTCTGCATCCTCGACTGCAGCCATCTAAAAGACATGGAGCTCCATCTACAGAAAACAGAGAGGGAGAAGTACTCCTGGGGTAATCTATCCCATACGTCTCAAGGTGGCATGAGTGGCTCTCTGGAGAACATTGCTCCTGAGGCACTATGGTGACACTCAGGCCAAATTGCTTAGACGAGAAGCCATGTTTATGACAGCTGGCATGAGGGGGGATGACTGTCACCCAGAACACTTGGTTGGTGTCACCCACTTCTTGGGATTTGCCACATTGGCTGTTTCTTCTTATTCACAGTGTTTAAAAGCTGATTGTCTAAATAGCCTAAAATGAAATCCACACCTCCAGGAGGTTATGGTGAGACAAGACCAGCAGGACTGGTCCCCAGACGGGGACAGGAACCAGCTGACGTGAGCTGAGAGTGCTTCTCCTGGAGGACGGAGCCGGCTGCCAGGAGGCTACGGACATCACCAGATCCCTTTGGAAAGGCACATGTGTGCATTCGAAATCAATGGCAGGAAAGAGGAAATTATAAGCATGATTACTCCTAAACGGGGGGAATGTTTAATCCAAAAGCTAATACACACTTTGATCTAATATTAATGAACCAACACCTGGTTGTATATCGTCCCCAGCTTCAAAAGAGGGGAAGTCTTAATCAAACACTAATGTGTATCATAATTTGTAACACAGTCTAAAACATCAAAGACAAGAGTGTCTATGAATGCACCAGTTTTTCAGATGAAAGTGTTTTCTCCCAGGAGAAGCATTATCCCCAGCAGAACTGCAGATCTGAGAGGCTGTTAGAGTAAATAGGTTTCTACGAGGGGGTCGAGGGGCAGCGAGCCCAGCCCAGTGTTGCATAACGCCAAGTTTCAGGCCAGACCGTCGGGCTGCTTTTTGCAGCCTGTTTCAGACAGCATCTCCGCGGCGTTCCTGCTGCCCCTGCTCCGGGGGCTGCACCAGCCAGCGCGGCTGCTGCTCTGCTCCCGGATGAGGTCAGCTTTGAACAGCCTTGGCGCTGCCCAGCTCCAGGGAGCACAGAAACCAATGCTAAAAACACGGGACACGCTCACTGCCACCCTGAGAGCACACTGGCAATTCAGTGCCTTGCTGGGATGAGGTACAGGAGAGGAAGGGCCATGCAACTTCTAGATTTGTGGCTTCTTCAATCTGTGCCATTTATAAATTCCAAAAAAAAAAAAAAAGGGAAAAAAATCCTTTGCCTCTGAACGCCTTTTGTCCTATTTATCCAGCAGCATAATTCCCTTCTTGTCCACCCCAAGAGGCTGGGGCACTGCAGATAGCTCATGCTGCTTTTCCCTGGGGGCCGGGGGCGCTGACACGGCTCCAGCGCAGGCGGACGCTGCCCTGCGCTGCTCCTGGATGTCTTGGCTTCACCTGCTTGTGCACACGGCAGCCAGCAAAGCTTCGGGGCTGCTTCCCGGAGCTCTGGGTACCCCTACCCATGGGAGATGGGGAAAAGCCGGCCTCAGCAAGTCCCTGGCAGTGCCCCAGGGAAGCCCGTGGGATATCCGTCCCTCTTGGGCACAGGGCAGCCTGACGTGTCTCACCTCCATCACTTGTCTGGTCAGCGCAGGGTGGCTGGCAGGCCCCTGCTCCAAGACCACGGTGGCAATCTTCTCACAGTAGTGCAAGGCCTGGGCGGGCAGCCCGTAGTCCACCAGGCGAGAGGCATAGATGAGCTTGTACACCTCGGGGAAGGAAAGAAAAACAGCCGTAGGCCTGGAATGTGAGTGAGGAGGAGCCCGTGAGCTCATGTCACAGGGTGCCCATTAAGGTCTCTTAGGACCAAGCAGCACCAGATCATCTTAGTGTGACTCAAACTGCCCTGGGTCACAGGTCCTACCCCAACAGGTCATTTGGACATCTCCCTCCTCCTTACCTCCTCCCTGGGCAGCCTGGTTATGCTGCGCTGAGCACCAGGCCTGCACCATGCCTGCAGATCAGCATTGGGGAAGGGCTCCAGCCGCAATTTTCATTTATCTACCCAATTTGTGCAGTGCCCAAGGCGGCAGCAGCTGGGTGCTTATTTACAATATGAAAAGCCTATCAATTACACAGGACTATAAGAGAACAGGAGGGGAGCTAGACCCAGGCTAACGCAGAGCAAACACAGATGGCACCAAGCCCCACAAGCTGCCGTGACTCAGGCTCCCATGCGCTGCGCTCAGAGGAGGATGCAAAAGCCCTGCCTTGGAGAAACCTGCACGGAGCCTAGCAAGCAGAGCCTCTCCTGCAGCCAGAGGAGGGAGAAGCCTCCAAAGACATCGGAGAAGAGCCCTGGTCCAGCTGGAGCACCTGCAGCTCAGCTTTAGGGGACTGGAGGGACATGCTTGGCAGGGATTTTTTAGGGCGGGTCTGAGCTGTCGTTGGCCGTGCTTGCAAGTCTCCACTACCTGGAAGGGGAGCAGGAAGGCTCTGGGTTGTCGCAGCTGCTGGCAGTACTCAAGGATTTCCATGCGCTGGATAATCTCCGTCCTGGCAAACTGGGCAAACGCCTGACTGTAAAGGAGAAGGAAGAGGGCAGTTCAGGGGGCACAGCAGACACACATCTCTCTCCAAGACAGCCCGGTATGCAGGCCTGCTCCTCTTCTGCACTGCCAACCTGGAGCAAGCTGGAAAGGCCCACGGTAAAACCAGACGAGGAGCAATGAAAGCCCATGATTTTTACTTTCCAGAATTTTACTTTTCCCTTGCCAGAGGGCAAATGTGACATCCGAGGCCAAAACTTGAACAAGCACAAGAAAGCAAAGAATTTGCAATATTCCTGCACTTGCTGGGAATTCAAAGCAATAGTGAGCAGAAAGATAAGGTTTTTGTCTGTGAGACTCCGATTTTTTGGAAGCTGCCAACCCATTTTGCAGAAAGATTTGAGATCACAGGGAGAGGAAGAAGGCAGGAGACAACTCTGAAAAAACAGCTGGAAGAGCCCGCAGGGCATGGGCTGCCTGTGCTTCCTCACCGGTGACTGCTGCCCAGCAAAGCCATGCGATTCGCTTTCTCTCCAAAGTAACCAAAAGGGATATCTGCCATCAGGTAGCAGAAGTGAGCTGCTTCTATTAATCCCCTGCCAGCTGGATGGGGAAGGAGAGAAGAAGAAAGAAATGTTAGCCTTCAGAGACAGACCTCAGTGCAATCAGTGCTGCTCTGAAGACAACCAAGCTCATAGAAAATATGACTAACCAAACAGTCCCATTTTTTTCTCTGTCCATTCAGATCCCATAATCTCCCTTCTCACCCACACCTTTTTTCTTCTTTTTTTTCAGATTGCTATTTTCTGTGCTTAAGGAGTGGGCTGGCTCAGTGTTGAGAGCAGGGCAACTCTACCAAGGTGCATCTCCAGTTTCACTTCTCTGGGCAGATGTCATCAGCCTGAACCTGCCCGAGGTTCTCTACCAACAGTGGTCCAGATGGGCCCTCAGAGCAAGCCTCAGTCCCCACAGTTACATGTGCCACCCGTGCTCCATCACCAGGAGAGCAGATAAAGGACAATGTTCTCTCTCCAGAAAGGAGCATGAGCACCAAAGGCACAGCAGAGCTGCGAGTCTGCCTCCGAACGAGGCCCCAGCTCACCCAAGGTATCTCCCATGGTGACGATGGCACGGTGGTTCAGCTCTGCATCTCCAACCTTGTTGGACAGCATCACAGCCAGGTGGGGCCTCCAGTCTCCCCACTTGGCATCCCCACAGCACTGCGAGGGAGACAAGGAAGGAGACAAAGCCGAGCTGAGCCCAGCAGCCCAGGCCACAGCAAAAGGGTCTCCATGCCACACAGTCCCCCGTGACATTCTTCTCACAGTGTCTTCTTGCACCATATGACACAGGTGTCACATAAGAGGAAAGCAACCCAGAGGGCACTGCCAGGGTAAGGAAACTCTCATACACCCACCTGTGCTGCCTGGGGAACCCTTCCGGACATGAGCTGGAAGAAGGTCTGTAGCGGGTCATTGACAGCCAGCGTGTTGGTGAACCTGCAAGGAGGCAACAGAGACAGTCACCGCGGCACAATCACAGCACGAGAGCCCAAACTCGCCATCGCTCCCAACGT